TTTTATACTTGGGTTGCGGTGGATGTAGATTCTATATTTCTATCACCATTAAAGAAATCAACATTCAAATCTTTCTCTTTATTACCTCCATTTTATCATCTACAAATCACTCACCATTTGATGTCATATCCTCAAAAATCAAATGATCTTCGTCATCCTTCAACCCTTTCTTCTTCTAGTTTGTCTTTAAGTCTCTTATTGCATATGATGTACACTAAATAATTCATTCTTAAAGTTGTCAGACGATTTCTCCTCTTTATATGCACTTGGTTGTATGTGTTCCAGTTGCATTCACATCCAGATAAAAAGCACGTTAATCCCAAAACCTTCATAATGAAATGCTGCAATTCTGGAGTGTCATCGTCAAATTCAGTCCACCAGTCAACTGAAATTTACATAAGTATAATAAATACTAATAGAATGACTTTTAAATAAATGAGTATATAATATAGTAAAGCAACAAATAAAATTACCTTAAGATCATTTGGAAACAGTGTCATTTTTTTGTTGTAATCCAAAAAAGACCTCTTTATTCCTAAATGGTACCAATTGTATATCATTATTTGATCTTTCAGTTGAATCAACCATAAGTTTATCAATGCAATGATATAATCTTAATTTTATCTCAGGATTTGTTGACTTATTTTTCTGCATATTGATATTGAAGGATCAAATAATAACAATATAACATGTTACATTTAAGTACCGATGAAGCTGTAGCTCCACCTATCATCAATAATATTCAAAATTTTTTGTTATCCTTAAGTTGTGAGGAAGAATCGTTTATTTTACTTCATCCCATATTATTACATATGAAGTCCATAGCATGTTTTTTTCTCATCATCCATCATCCTCATAACTTGCACCAATGGCCTAATACAAGTTGTCATTTGGAACAATCTTCCTAACATCTCTCCTCTCGAATTTCTTTTCCCAAGCATAACTCAACCACTATGTACAGGCAAAACTAGACTTCAAAGGTTTTCTTGCCTCCAACATACTCTGGAAAATCAAATAAGCGATGACAAATCTAGTTACTGCAGGCCTAAGTATTTCTTTCTTTGAAAATTTTCTCATAAGTGTTAAACCCAAGAATGATTATAAATAAATTTACTAATCATCTTAATTTTTATCAATGCATTATTGTGTTGCGACAGCTCTGCATTTCTTTCTTGTGGTTTGAAGTATAATGCTTATCACTGCATCAAAACTCTACCTCACGTGAAGCAATCGAAGTCGAACAACAAAGAAGGAACTACGATGCGCCTAAGGAGGCGAAGTAGCTCACATCTCTTACAAATCCTACCTCTCATGAACAAGGAAAAGTCGAGCAGGGAGCAATGACAAAGAGCATGAGATGCGAGAAAGATGGCTACAATCACACCGAGCAAGCTTCGATCGTTACTTCCGATCCAATAGGAAGAAAATCAAATTGTCGTGCCTTCTAATATGATCGGAAGGCAACGTCGTCGACGAAGACGAAGAAGCTTTTAATGATTCGTCGAAGCACGTGAAGTCGAACAGACGAAATGTTGAATGAGTCGAACAAATTTAGAGATTAACTTTTAATTTTTCTTGTTACTTTTTGAGACGAACACCTCATGGAAATGAGGCTAGGTGCACCTTAAATTGCACAATTTTAAATGATGAATATTCCTTAGTAGTGGTACTTCATTAGGTTATTCATTAGGGCGTTGTTCCTTAAATTTGTATAGTAATTCACTTCCATCCATAAACATAAATATAGTCTTATTCACATCTTAGTTCAATTCGACAATGATCAAAGCATAATTATTCATTCTATTGTGCTCTCATTTCCAAAAGCATGTTGGCTCAAAATGTGAAGAGATTTTTTTTTAGTTCATTAGGAGCATTTAAGTGTATTGACAGCAAGACTCTTCAGGTCTAATAGAATGATCCTCGTTCATGTACTTAAAAGCATATGTATTGGTCAAGTACCTCATGTGGAACTATATCTTTTAGGTAAAGAGGAAATTTTATCGTAGATTGAAATATAAAGCCAACTGAAAAGTCTCCTCAAACAAATTAAAGTTATTGCCAAATCATTTCTATTTTTTAGTTTAGGTTTTCAACAAATCAGATGTCTAAAGAGCTCCATTTTTTAATCCTCCCGATTTTCAAAATATAGCAACAATTTTTCAAACATATTTATGAATTTAAAACTTAATTGAAGTCTTGGTCCCTTGCTTTAATAAGTTAAACTCATCCATCAAGAATTTTCTTTTAATAGCAATTTTATTTTAACCTATGTGACTGTTGATTAGAACCCTAATCTTTCAGTTTGTTTTCCTACATTTATCCCGTAAATTTTTGCTTGGCCAACAAATATCAATTTCACAAACCTTATCACTCATCAGATAATAATTGTCAATCAAATAAATTATCTATATCCGTTACCCAATAAAAAAAACACTTCAACATATATTCTCACGTAAACACATCAACTTAAACTTTCCTTGTTATGCTTTCATCGATATCATATGGTTGTTGTCGATGAATATAATTTTCATTGGGGCATTTACCATGAAGTCTACCTTGGTTATTTCTTTCGTGGAGAGATCTGTTTCCTGATAATGTTGTGAATTTATTCTAAATTAAGAATAAATTTGCTATACGGTTCTTGTAGGCGTATTTAATTAATTTCCAATACATCAAGTCATTCGTTAATTTAGTTTACTGATGTTCATAGTTGATCATGTCATGCGAATAACTGTTTTAGTTCGCTTTAGAAAGCAAATAAAGCATCATAATTATGGTGATATGCTAATTGATCCTAAGAATTTGCCCTACATTTATGTTGACACCCATAGATTCTAATATCAATTTGATAAAGAATGATTAAGAGTTTAGGATTACTAATGCAACCTAGGAGAAGATATATGATGAGAACACCCTGAAATACAAAATCACCATATTATTGACAACCAAATATTAAGTTAATAGCAAAAATCATTCTCTTTCAATGTAAAAACTAAAAACACAAGCATGCGTCATTATCCCAAGCAATAATTTAATAGTCGCCAAATCTAAAATATTATTACAAAATTTGTGACAAATGCAAAATTTCAGCATAAATTAAGTTTCACATTATAAATAGGAATGTGAAACATACCACAATTGATAAAATTTCAATCATGCATGCAACTGACCAATAGACAAACTAAAATTAAAAAGAAAAAAAACAACAAGGATAAAAATCATCCAAAAGGAAAAGCTAGGCTTCAAACCAGAATAAGAAGAATTGCCAGAAAAATAGTTAAAACTAGTGAAACACTCAAAGAATACACACCTAACTACTGCACACACAAAAATTGAGGAAAATAAAATTTTATTTCAATACTCACTGCAAAATATTTTTAGAAGCCCCTAGGTTCTTATTTATAGCCCATGGAATATTCAGAAAAGATAATTCCTCAAAAACTTCATAGAACTGGTCAAAAGATGCAAGTTTCTTAATTTCATGTGGATTTATCCTTGAAATGTTTTTTACTTGAAATATTCATGTGAAATTATCCAATAAAGAAAACCAAGAGGCCACAAATTAGGCAACAAAGAGTGTGATTTGCAAGAGAGAGACGTGAACTAGAAATTACGCATAACAAAACTAGAATCTCAAGGCTAACATTATCAGCAATAGGCTTCCATTCAATTTGTGCTGCAGTGCAATTAATAGTAATAGTAAAAGTTGAATAAAACTGCCTCCATGGTTGTCCCAAAATAATGGTAAAATGGGTTGAAAAAACATAGAAAGTAAACCTCCTGGAGGAAAATATATAAAGAATTTGTATGAAGGAAATTTGTACATGAAAATATCATGTATTCTAGAAGAATAGGAGGTTTTGAAAGATGAAAACCTGAATTGTTCATGATGCTGATGAAATTAAACCCCTACAGTGATTAACAAACCTAAAGAGAATTTCAAAATATTAGAGCGAACAGCTCGTTTTTTATAGAGTAAACAGCATATAGCTCATATAAGATCAACATCACAAGCCTGCTTAACAATAAACTATAAATAAATACAATATAAATTAAGCATACTCCTCTTAAGATTCACTTTGTGCTCCCGATAATTGGGAACATAAATTTTTTAAGAACTAGCAAGGAACTAAGATGCAAATTTGAAGGTGGCAGAGGAGAGGGCTCCCATTGAGGATAAATTAGTTTCCTATTTTCACAGGAAAGGAGAACTGATAGAACAAGAGTCAATAATAACGCACAGAGAAAAAAAATAGGTATGGAGACAGCATCATTATGGCTAGAACAATACAGATGCACTGGTATAGCTTGCATTGTCGATGTGATTCAGCATCATTCTATTTTTTATGCTTTAATGAATATTGTTTATCATCCAGTTCTCCAATTACTTGCAGAAGAAAAAATTTGAGCCATATGAAAACCACTACTTGGTTCTTTTCATGTGATTCATCAATTCTTATTTAAAATAGATGGGACTCATTTTATTGATTTTTCAATAGCAACAATGTTAAATAATCTACGTAGTAAATGTTCCGCACAGGACATTTCCATCTCTTAATCATCTATCTCACAATGATTAACATCAATTTAAGTTTAATAAACATAACAATCATCTATATCCATTAAAAAATATTTATCAATTCCATTTTTCACTTTTGTACACATTAATTAGTACAAAGTAAAAACATTGTTGGTTTCTATAGCATCAAAGCATAACAAATTCCTTAATGTTTCTTATGTAATAAATTATTAAGACAAATAATAAACAATTTGAAGTAAAAAAATCCGGCTACCATCAAATCATTTATCTAATGATATTTCTGATTGGAAAATCACAGAATAATAAAAAAAAGAAAATGCAGGCAGCATTATAAGTGAAAAACAAAAGTATCACAGCAAACCAAATTAGAAAAAGAAAGAAAAACAGGGGCAATGCATATACAGATGCAAATGGGCAAGCAGCTAGATAAGAGTTCTACTTCAGAGAAGATAAATCTAACCTTGGTTGCTTGGAGTATTATAGCCAGTTGTTGAAGCATTACTAGAACTGGAATTGACATCTGGTGCACCTGAAATTATTGTCGAGGAGCTTGATGAGATGACTGACAGGAGTGTATTTGGCAAAAATGGTGATATTTGAGTAGGAGTGATACTTAAGTTATTGATCGGAAAGAGTGGTTGGGGTAATGGAGTGGGCGTTGATGAAGGTAGACCAGGTGGTGCAACTTGAAATGATTGTTGAAGTACAGTTGTGGTAGGCGTCAAAGAAGTCGACACATTCTGGACAGGAAACAGAGGCTGTTGTGCCAGACCTGCAGGTGGAGGGGGTACCAATGCCACTGGGTTTGATGGAAACCAGGATTGCGGCTGCGGTTGCATAGGCCAGCTTGGAGGCTGCAATGGCAGTGCTGCTGGATTATAACTGCTCCATGGAAAAAAGATATAAAATGCAAGAAAGGCAAAAGGTTATATTAAATAGAAATAAATGAGTTAAATGATACTAAAGATGGAACAATCTACCACTCTGTCACTATTGATTTGTTCAATGAAAAAAAAAAGGTTATTATGATGACCTTTTGGACAAATATGTGATTTTAAAAAGAAATTCTGAAAGAGGGGGTGAAATATCATACAAGTGTAAATACTTGAAATAGTCTTCGGGATTAAACAAAAGTTAAGATGACATACACTGGTGGTACAGCACCATAAGTTGGAGGGAACCCAATACCAACTGATCTTGGCACCACTCCACTCATGAGCCCTGCAGAGGGAACTTCAATCTTTGGCATCTTCAATGAGGGATCCTCCTCTGCATGATACATTTTTACAAATTATCAACCGAAAAAAACATGGAAACAAGGGGAAGGATAGAACCAGCCTAGGGTAGACAAAATAAAATTATGAAATGCATAATCTTTATATAAACAGAAAAGGAATTTTTTCTTAGAATTTATGCAACTACATTTATTGAAGGTAGGCAAAATAGTTAAAATATTTATTTAAAAAAAATCATTGTGGGCAATTACCCAGTCTGATCTCTTCCTGGTTCTACCCTTGAACAAGGGAAAACTTCTAAAAGTGCCCTACTAGATCTCCAACAACTAAGAGAAAAGCCAAGCCAACGATGATTCTCAAGGATTGACCAGTGATGCACCAAAACCAGCATCCCAAAAACAAAATAATAATAATAATAAACAATCATTCAGATAGAAAATAAAAAGAAAGAAAAAAGAGAGCAGATGCTACTAACTTCAGCAATACCTAGTGTCATAAATAAAGATGGTACAAAGCAGGCATTAGTATCATTCTACTGCTATGGATAAATATGAAAATCTCATAAGCATATTAACATCAACATCCATTAAGATCAAAAAATAAATATGGCTGAAGTAAATATGCAGAACTAACAGTCAAAAAACCAACATAAACTCAATCTAGAATTGATACAACGTATGCTCATAAAGAAATGCATATATTAACTGAATACTCAAGGAATCAACCACCAAGAAGCTGCTCATAGAAATAAACAAATTTAATCGCGCATAGAAAAATAATCCAAAGGCTAACATCAAACATGCATATGGAAGTTGACAACTAGTATATTAGGTACATACTAAAAGCTGCCGTATCCCAAAAAGCGCCACCAAATTGTCAATCTAAATAAATATTGAACTCTACATGAATGAATATGCTCATCGATCCAATCACATCACCAGCATTCATTTATGCCGCCCTCCACTGCACCCACACCCTAGTATATCCATTTCTCCCGTCTGCCAAGTAAGCTCTTATGAAAGCACGCTAGTGTCACACAGACAAAGCACAACTGACCTAAGGATTCTTTGAAGCTTACACATGAAACCTACTTAAAGATAAGGGGGAATATATTGCAAAGCAGCTAAATCAAATTATCCAACAAAAGGTGAAACAATTCATTTCTTCGCAGTACTTTTTAATCCAAAAGCTCAACTCAGTATGGCGTCCCCGCAACTGATAGCATTAACAAGGAATAAGATTTATCTGTTAAAATGCTCAAGCAACACCACTGAAAACCGGATCTGGAGACTTACAACATTAGGACCATTCTAACAATAGTCCTGAAAATTTCATGCTTGGAAGCACCTTCGTTGTAAGCGAAACAAAAATAATCTATAATTTTAAGGCATTCCTGAATCTAGAAAACTTCAACAACTTTGTAGAGCATTGAGATTAAAGAAGTACAAGAACCAAAACAGAAAAAAGTATTAGCCTTTTAGAATACATAAAAGATTTATTAAAAGTCCATAATTAAATATTAAGAGGAAAACAAAAATATATTTTTGATATTTGCAAGAAAAATTAGTATTACATCATAGAGACCACAAGAGTCAATTCAACTCCAATCCAAAAATGTAATGTGAGAGTAAATTTAGAATTAACTCACAAAAGAAGTTAATTTAAAAAACAAGAAAAAATCATATCAATTGCCATGAAATGACAAAAAAAGCAATACCATCGGGAATATTTGTTGATAAAGAAACAAAAATAAGTAACCCAAAAAAACTATGTTGAAGTTGAAAAGTAAATCATAAGTCTTAAAGAAAAATAATCATGGATAACAATATACAATCACTGTCTCAAAAAAGAGAACAAGATGCAAGTAGCATGTTACCTTCTCCATAGTGCGCTGCTAAGATGTCAGGAGGAATTCCTTGCATGCCAAATATCTCAATTTCTGTTGATTCTCTGCCAGCCTTAGCATTAGGAACTCTGAAAAAAAAAAGCAATTCAGCATTAGTACATTAAACAAAGCAATAAGCCACAGATAAAGCATTGAATATTTAAAAACAAATGACAAAAGAATAAGCCAAAGATAAAGAATCTCTTGGAGATATAGCAAATACTTGAACTTTACGAATAAAAACATTCAACCACATGATATATGTGTTAGCAGTTCAACTTCAGCATGTTTTAATGTTTTTTGTGACATCAAATGGGGTTTCTACACAAAATTTCTAAGGCATGCAAAACAATAACCATACAGCATGGTTCGAGAAAAGAGCATAAAAATTTTTAAAGCTGGCTTATTAGCACATACACACCCTTCTTCAAACTATAAGTAGAATAAAAATGCCTGAAATAAAATAATACAATGCAAATTGGATGAAAAAATTATACACTTCACAAGAAAATCTGATAAGGCAAATTACTGAAATCAATGTCTTCCCCTAACTGTGCAAACCATATCTATTCATAAACAAAAAAGGTCAGAAATACAGGATCTGTTGAATTGGCATAAATTATATTGTAGGGAATCGGCTATAAAGTAATGTTCAAATATTTGCATGATAGGAACTGTTAAGGCATGAATAAGTCTTCCTCAACAAAACGGTCTACAGTGAGATCAGAAAGTAAGAAATATCTGAAATTGAACCAGGAATTAACCCAAATATAGAAAGAATTTTGTTAAATCCTATCCGTCCCTTGACATTTTGATCCCACGCCTAGGATGTGAATCTGTGGGAGGCTCACCTGTTAAATCCCAGCCATCCCATGGCATTTTGATCCCACGGCTAGGATGGGAATCAGTGAAAGAGGCTCACCTGGATCACGCCGATCTCCTTCCATATTTACTTGGCTGATTTAGGAAGGATTATATATTAGAGCAATTAAGCATGATTTTGTAATTATTTGTTTCTTTATTAAGATACCTTGTGTAGATCTATAAATAAGAATAGTTTTGTGCAATAAAATTAAGTTTTTTCCCTCTCCAATTCTCTGAATTTAACATGATATCATAACCTTCATTGCCATTGCCAGAATTTTGAGTTTTTTTTTTTTTACTGTCGTGCCTTCATTGTCGGCCCTCCCTTGTTATCCTATCGATAACCAACACAACCTTCATTGCTACCCTGCTTAATATAGCTATCATCGCTACCACTTGTCGCCGCAATGTCTGAAGCAAATTCATCCCAAAGCTTTGACCAAATGGAGGACTCTATGATTCACCAAGGAAGAAGAGATCTCATAAATATGCAACCTTCCTATTACTTAAATGGGAAAATTTTCTTGAAGCCGTCTCAATTTGTGAAAACCTACTTGAAAGGAAACGAAAGTTGAATCACCTCCTTGGGATAGGACCAAAAGAAGGAGATCCTAATTTTTGGACATGGGATAAAGCGGACTCCATGATTATGTCATGGTTGTGGAATTCAATGACTCCAAAAATTGGTGATACTTTTATGTTCCTATCTGCTACAAAGGACATATGGGATACTGTCAGGCAAACCTTCTCAAAGGCTCAGGCTGCCCAGATCATTGAAATTAAGGTTAAGGTGGGAAGCACAAAATAAGGAAGCAAAACTGTAACGGAATATGCCACTCACCTTCTAAACTTATGGCACGAACTTGATGCATAGAGACCAAGTGTCAAGAAGATGTTGTTATACTGAAAAATTTTATTGAGGAAGATAGTGTATGACTTTCTTACAAGATTAAATGCAAAGTTTAATCAGGATAGAGTTTAGATCCTTAGAAGAGAGGAGACACCCTCATTAAACGAGATAATTTCTCTCATTCGTGTTGAGGAAAGCCGAAGAGAGGTAATGCTAGAGCCAAAGGTAGTTGAAGGTTCAACAATTGTATCAACAAAAGAGGTGCCATGGAAGGAAAAAAAAGGTAAGGATTCCTCAAGGAAGGAAAAAAAAGGTAAGGAATCCTCAAAACCTAAAATTAAAGTCTCCCTTTGGTGTAGTTATTGCAAGAAATCAAGACACGCAAAGGAGACGTGCTGGAAGATATATGGAAAGCCCCCATGTGAGGAGTAGACTCAAAGAAGTGGACAAAAGAGCACATCACAAGCCAACATTACAACAAATCAGCCTAACCCAAAAACGCAGTCCAACTTAAGAGATCTCAATAAATAATATATTGATAAACTAAAACAACTTCTGGCATCCCTTGAAAAACTACATGCATCTTCTTCTTTTGCACTTAAAGGGCAAGAGATCGGGGAAGCAGATTGAACTTGCTAAGGAGAGAGATGAAATGTGCTATTTAGAAGAGCTGAACAAATCTAATATTATCAATAATGACTATTCTATGTTATCCCTATTTGATAAACAATATATTATTTGGCTTCATCATTTTAGATTAGGACATCAATCTTTTGATATCTTAAGAAATTTGTACCAAAAACTTTTTTATAAGTAGGAAAATAAATTTTTTCATTGTAAAACCCATGAGTTAACCAAGCATAAATGAGTTTCTTTTCCAAAAAAAAAATTAAAGATGTAATACTCCAATTTACCTTATTCATAGTGATATTTGAGAAACCTAAAAAATTCCTTACATCTCAAGAGCCCGATGGTTGTATCTTTTATTGATGACTGCACTCGAGTCTCTTGGATCTTTCTCCTTAAAAATAAATCTGATGTTAGCACTATCCTCCTCATTTTTCATACCACAATCCAGAACCAATTAGGGGTAAAAATAAAAAAAATTTGTTCAGACTTCAGACAATGCTAAAGATTACTCTAATCAAACTCCATCCTCCTACTTTCAAAAAGAATGTATCATTCATGAGTCTTCCTGCATTTACACCCCACAACAAAACGAGTTTGTAGAAAGGAAAAATGGTAACCTACTAGCCTCCACTCCTGCACTTCATTCCACCACAATGTACCCAAATCCTATTGGGGGAAGCCCTTATGACTATCATATATCTCATAAATCGACTACCTTCAAAAACCTTGGGACAAAAAATACCAATGGATATTATATCCTCTTTTTACTCTGAATTCCGAACTCATAATAATCTTACACCCAGAATATTTGGGTGCACTACCTATGCTCACATTAGGGGTGCAAATGAGTCGAGTTAAGCTCAAGTCAAAGGGTGTTCAAGTCGAGCTCGACTGTCAAATAACGAGCTCGAACTCGAGTAGAGCTCAAAAGTCGAGCTCGAGCACGACGCAACCGAGGAAAAAAAAAGCTCGTCGAGCTGCTCGAGCAGCAGTTCGAGCTCAGTTTGTCCATCGAGCCCGCCTCTGTCGCCAGTGCCATGTCCGGACGAGTAGCCAACGCTTTCTATCTAACGAGCCGAGCTCGATAAGGGCCAAAACTCGACTCGACTCGACTCGTTTACACCCCTAGCGTCGCCAGCTTCCCTCGTCGCCGTCAGCATCCACGTCCGTCGCCAATGCGGCTTCTGTCGTCAGCGTCTGCATTCGCTGCCAGCGGACACCATTAATAGTTTTCGCATCGTGACACCCCTAGCTTCTGAGTCGCCAAGCTCGCGAGTCGAGCAGTTTCCCACGTCTGATTTCATTTTCCCGTCTGTAATCTAATTTTTCCTGCTAGCGATGCAAGCTTCTCGAGGAGCTCGCGAAACGAGCAATGGGATGTTCGAGCTCGATAAGCTATCGAGCTCGAAATCATGTTCGAGCACGACTCGCGAGGTCGATAAGCTTGACTCGTCGAGCTTGTTATCGAGTCGAGCTCGAGCCAGCTTGACTAATTTGCACCCCTAGCTCACATTCATAGCCAAATAGAGGAAAATTATATCCAAGAACACTCAAATGTATCTTTGTTGGATATTCATCCACCCAAAAAGGTTATAAGTGTTATCATCCCTCCACCAAGAAAACTCTTGTATTTGTTGGCATTACCTTTGATGAACAAAAATCCTATTTCACCAAACCTCATCTTTAGGGGAAGACTGAAATTGAAAAAGATGAGGAAAGTGAGCTTGCCCCCTCTTGACCTTTTAGCTCCACCTCAAATCAATTCACATGAACCTAAAATCAAACTAAGGGAAACGGAGAACAAAGCCATTATGGATAATAGGAGGTTTGGGCAAGTGTATTCCAGACATATAAATCCAAATTATGCTCTAGAGCATATTCAAGAATCTGAATTGTCTTCTAAAATTGATGTTCATAAAAAAAACCTCCCTTGTACCCTATAACTTTTTATCCTTCCATAACTTCTCACCTTCACACACAAATTTTCTAGTTACACTAAAATACTAAATGATATTTATATTCCTAATGATATATTTCTGAAACCTTATATAATGAAAATTAGAAAAATGCCATGAAAGATAAAATATAGGCCTTGGAGAAGAACAATACATGGGTGATCACTGACCTACCAATAGGAAAAAAAATCAGTATTTGCAAATGGATATTCTATGTGAAATACAAAGCTAATGGTATATTGGAAAGGTAAAAGGTAAGACTAGTGATGAAAGGGTACACTCATATGTACAGTGTTGACTACTAAGAAACTTGTGTTTCGGTGGCCAAGATGAACACCATGAGGATCCTGCTCTCACTAGTAGCTAATTACAATTGGCATCTGAAACAACTAGATGTCAAAAATGTATTCCTACATAGGGACTTGGAGGAAGAAATATTTATGAAGATTCCACCAAGATTCAAGGAGAAATATGGGGTAACAAAGTGTGCAGGCTAAAAAAGGCTCTATATGAGCTAAAGCAATCACCTAGAGCTTAGTTTGAAAGATTCTAAAAAGTTATGATACTTAATGGTTATCGACAGAGCCAAGGGATCCATACATTATTCTTCAAGCACTCAGACTCAGGAGAAGTCACAATTCTATTAATTTATGTGGATGATATCATCTTAACTGAGAATAATGAAAAGAGAAAGTGATTTTAAGGAAATATCTTGCTAAGGAATTTGAGATCAAAGATCTTGATAGTTTAAAATATTTTCTAGGAATTGAAGTTGCCCACTCCAGCAAAGGAATTTTCATTTCATAACAAAAATACATTAATGATCTTCTTAAAGAAACAGACAAACTAGCTTGTAAACCAACACCAACACTAATAAAATCAAATCTCAATATGGGTGAAGCTAAAGAAGATCCAAATATAGATAAAGGATCTTACCAGAGACTTGCGAGGAAATTAATCTACCTTTCCCACACCATACCAAATATATAATTTGTTGTGAGCATGGTCAGCTAGTTCGTGCAAAATCTAAAGCAGACTCACATGCAAGCTACATGCAGAATACTATACTACCTTAAGAGGAACCCAAGTAAAGGGATTCTCTTCAGAAGAGAATGTTGAATAATCCCAGAAGCATATACTGATGCAGATTATGCAGGATCACCAATAGCTAGATGATCTACCTCAGGATACTGCACATTCCTTGGAGAAAACCTTGTTATATGGAGGAGCAAGAAACAGAATGTGGTGGCAATGTCTAGTGTAGAAGCATAATATAGAGCTATGGCCTTGGGAATATGTGAGCTACTAAGGATCTAAATTATTCTAGAAAACTTAAGGATTAAGTGGAAATGATCCATGAAGTTATATTGTGACAACAAATCAACAATCACCATAGTTCTTAATTCGGTTCAACATGATAGGACCAAGCATATGGTAATGGACAGACATTTCACAAAGGAGAAATAGACAGTGGTTTTATATGTATCGATCATGTCTCATCAAAAGATCAGCTTGCAAATATTCTTACCAAGGGACTTGATAATTCTATCTTTCTGGGACTGATTACCAAACTGGGAATGACATATCTGCATTCCACAGCTTAAGGGGGAGTGTTAAATCCTAGTCGTCCTTAGACATTTTGATCATATGGCAAGAATGAGAATTTGTGGGAGGCTCCTCTGTTCAATCCCAATCATCCCTTGACATTTTGATCACATGGCTAGGAGGGAATCCATGGGAGGCTCACCTAGATCATACTGATCTCCTTCCATATTTAGTTGGCTGATTTATGAAGGATTATATTAGAGCAATTATGCATGATTTTGGAATTATTTATTTCTTTATTAGATATCTTGTATAGAACTATAAATATGGATAGTTTGGTGCAATAAAATTATGCATTTTCCCTGCCCAATTCTCTGAATTTAACAAATTTATCTTTTGATACAGCACATCCCCAACAATCTCCTCAACAAACTGGCACACAGTGAGATCAAAAGATAAGAAAGATCCAAATTTAGCAAGAAATTCACAAAAATAATTTTCCTTTCGATAGAACATATCCCTGGGATCTGATTAACCTTCTCATAAATAAATAGCACGATGATCAATACAAGCCTTTTGTTTTAAAAATGAAAGAGATAATAGAACAAATATTTAGAATTTTCACCTCTTGCATTAGGTTTCATAATTTTAGAGAACCATGAGAGAAGAAATAGATCCTACAAGGTGTGCCTCAGAAGTCTCTCATTTCAAACTAGAAAAGAATAAAATAGAAAAAAAGATTTCATAACATTTCAATTTAAAACAAAAAATATGAGGAACCTACTACATTATATAAGGTATTTTCAACAAACATATATGAAAAAAGTAGAAAATAAGATCAAAAGTCAAGAACATCGCACAGAACATGCTCTGAGCATTCACATATTCAAGTCAAACTTACAGATTTATCACGCAAAGGTTGACCTCAAGCACATACTGAGATGTCTAAAATCTTTGAATCCTATAGGAAAAGACAAAAAAAATCATCTTCGTACTAACACAAGCAGATAACACGAGGACTTGAAATCAAGAAATGAATAACACTGCATCACCACAGTAGCTCTTGGTCTTGGATCCTAAAACCACCGGAATCATTTAAAAAAAATAACTTCTCAAAAACACGCATAACATGAACCAAGTTAAATAGTACATTATCCATGACAAGATCCAAAACTATATGTAATGTAAAAGAAATAGACACAGAAATTGCAATAAATTATGGCGTGACGGACCAATTGCCGTCCCACAATGCAAGATATCATACCAAGCATTCAATAGAATGTCCGAGTTCATCAAGATAAAAAAAAATAAACAAATAAAAATATAAACGAAACGTTCATCCACAAAGGACATCTTAATAACAAGCAACAAACCTAATCAATCGCTTAAACAGAATCAAATCGAAACAAACAAAATTTAAAGAACACTGCAAAGAAATTTTAATAAATTGCTAACGACTTCTAAAAACAATATACGCGTAAACAGAGCAGGGAAATCAATGAAATCGACTACAAATAAAGTTTTCAAACAGTTTGATCTATACTTGGTGACGCTTTCCTTGTGAACCTGGAGTACATGTATGGCCATGCCGCCGGCGGTTGAGAGTTTCTTATGGCATACATGGCATTTGAAGTGTTTGGCCTTCTGGTGCTGTACGAGTATCTTCTCGTCGTCGAACTCGCGGTCACAGTAGTAGCACCAAACCTTCGAGGGTCTCTTCTTCTTCTTCCCCATGGATCGGCTTAACAAAACTAGGGTTTTTCCTCCTTTATCACTCCTCTCCTTCACCACTCTCGCTCGAAGCCGCGGAGTTGGAGCGTATCTTTCTTCGATTCTAGGGTTCTTGTTTTACCGCTAGCGGTAGAAAAACATTATTTTATAGACCAGCTGAAAGTTGGAATTCCACCCATGTTACATGACCTTAGGAATTTTTATCAGGTCCGAACACATGATGTAGCTCTACATCCGGACGTCAATAAATTATCATCACGTGCTCTTATTCTTTACCGTGCGTCCCGGCGACCCGACCTGGAACGGAAACCCAGTATTGCTATGTTCGTGTATTGATGGGTATTGCTCGGTATTGCTAGATATTGTTTGACAATAACGAGAAATATCGCTCTGTCAAGACCAATACCAAGCAATACCTAGCAAAAATGGGATATTGCTCGGTATTGCTAGGTATTGGTCTTGACAGAATGGTATTTCTCTTTTTCGAGCAATATCGAGCAAAACCTAGCAATACTCTGGTCTATATAAATCAGCTAATACATAGCAATATTGGTTTCGGTCCGGGTCGGGTCGTCGGGCTGCGCAATAAAGAGTAAGAGCACATGGCGACATTTTATTGGCGTCCGGATGTAGAGCTACGTAAGGTGTCCGGACCTAATAAAAATTCTACATTTAGGGGCTATTCAGTAGCACAGGATTTAATTTAAGTGGAATTTCGTAAATTCGCTAAATTTGGATTTCGAAAATTCTGATGTATATAAATCTTGAAAATTATTTGGTAACATTCATGATAAATCATATTAAATTTTGTGTGATTGTTTGACTACAGAAAAAATTTAATGAACGAACTTTTATTCTCGAGCCAACGGATTTCATAAATCTTACAAAAAACAAGATTTAGGAAATTCAGGATTTAGCACGAAAAGGTAGAATTATTCACCTACGACGACTTTCATTTGCCGTGAGATTTGATTTTGCATTTTAGGCAATTTGGCTGGATTTCACTCAAAACCGCCTCAAATCATTCTACCAAATAGCCCCTTAAAGGGTAAGAAATGGTTCATTAAGTTGAATCGGTGTACTTATTTGATCCGTTTAATAAATAGGTCAAAATTATTAATTCGAATTCGATTCGCACTCATTTGATTGGCCAAAACAGAGCTGACCCGATTATCCATTTAGATAAAAAATAATAATCATAAAGAAATCTAATATTATCAATGAGCAAAAGAATTTAAGCAAACTGGAATTACAACTATAACTTGCACCTATTTAATTAGATTTTTTCACCATATTTCAATCAAATTTTAATTAATTTAAACTTCAATTATTAAGTAACATTTCTATAAACATATCAAAAGTTCTAATTCATAATTCGTAGGTCAAAATCATGTCATTTTCAGGTTGGCAGGTCAACAGAGCTAGACCTGATAAATTGACAAGTTATGAGATAACCCATTTATTAAACATGTCAATAATAAATCTAATTTTTTTGGGTCATATCTCGATCAAGTTATCGTCTCATGTCTTTTATTAATATTTAATGCCCCTATTTTTCCTCTTTAATTTCTAATTTTGTATAATCCTATTTTAATATTTAGCTATTATTCATATTTGAAAATAGATAAATATTTAAGTTGTGAATTATAATCTCAAGGTGTGGACATTCTAGTTTGATTTTATTCAAAAATGAGATCAATTTTGTGAAAATTGGATCGAACATTGAATCGGAAGAAGAAGATGTTCACGTTTCGAGTGATTTGACCAGCCAAACTAAAGTCGAATTGGGTGTCGTTATAAATATACATTTCATGATTTATTCAAAAGAATCATATATTAAATTTGTGCACATAAAAATAAAATATAAAAAAGAAATTTTATTCAATTCAATTTTTTTTTTTTTTACATAAATCAAAACATGTATTTGTAGGCTCCTCATCTCCTAAACTAGGATATAGCTAGCATTAGATCGATTTAATCCAAACTTAAATTAATTTCAAAACTTAATTTGAAAACAAATACAACTTAAAACCACAAGCATTGCATTTTAAATCCCAAATTCTAAAACATGTAATTAAAGTTTATGCATTTAATGATAGCATTTAAAGTAAGTAAAATAACACTAGCTTTTAAAAATATGTCATATCATTATTTAGTATGTTTAACAAAGCTTTTTCAGAAAAAATAAAAATAAAAAAATTTGATTCCAGCTTCCTTCTTCTTCTTCCTGATGCCTGTCATTTTGACGAAGCAAAGCATGATACTGCGACCTCTCCACGGCACCAGAGGTTTTGCGTAGAAACCCCTGAAAAAGGGGGAAAACCATGGGGCATGACCCAATTTGAATGAATCCACTGGTATTTGTAGTTGATTACAAATGAGGCCCTTCCTTGGAGAAGGCCTTGACTTGATGTCACAAATATGCATCATCTAGGCAACATATAGAGCGCATTACATGGTGAGAGTTACAATAATCAACATAAACATATTTTTTTGGTCGGCATGATCATAGTTGATAGGATAGAGGTCGGAAAGATCGTAGTAGGCAGGAGACCGGGGTCAAAAAGACCTTTGTCTGGCGATGCAGGTCGGAAGTTCCGTAGTTGGTGATGAAGGTCGAAAGGACCATAGTAGATAGGAGACATGGGTCTGAAAGACAGTTCTTTGCAGAAAATCAAGGTCAGAAAGACCGTTATCTGGTGATGGAGGTTGGAAGGACTGTAGTAGACGGCAAAGGTTATAGTCCGTAGGAGACAGGGGTCCGAAAGCCCATAGTAGTAGGGTGATACTTTGATAGAACTCTGAGAATTATGTGGTATTACGGCAGAAGTCCGGGTCTCAGGTGGTAGTCCGGTAGAATTCCAAATCTCCGGTGGTGGTTCGGCAGAAGTCTGAGCCCTAGGAGGTGGTCTGACAGAAGTCTGTGAGTTAGGTGGTGGTCTGGCAGAAGTTCCGGCATCAGGTGGTGATCTGGGAGAAGTTTGAGCCTTAGGTGGTGCTTCGGCAGAAGTCCGGGCATCAAGTGATGGTCTGAAAGAAGTCTAGACTTCAGGTGGTGGTCCGGCAGAAGTCCGGGCCTTAGGTGGTGGTCTGGCGGAACTCATGGCCTCAGCTGGTGGTCTGACGGAACTCAGGGCCTCAGCTGGTGGTCCGGCGGAACTCAGGGCCTCAGCTGGTGGTCCGGCGGAACTCAGGCATCAGGTGGTGGTTTTGTCGAAGTTCGAACTATGGTCGAGGAGGAGCAAGGAGGTAAGAACGATATCTAATCTTTCTCTTGATCCCTTGGGCTTAGGTCCCTCTTTTCAAGAGGGAGGAGGAGTCTATTTAATAACAACAATATCAAACATCTATCATACTACATTAGATCACCTACAATGATCTTATTTTTCTATTGTCTTATTAAAAGTTAAATTTAAATTAAAAATTATTCTTAATACTTTCTAAATTATTTGAAGTATATTTCATCTTTTTTACACTTCAATCCAAGTCATTGAAGGGCCAATGTTTTATAACCAAATCATCTAAGGCAACTCTCTCTAATGTTATTTGCCACAAAAGCTAAGTACTCATACCCATTCTATTTCTAAGCGCAAAACTATTCATCTAATGAATATCCTCATCTCTATAACACTTAATTTAATAGTATACTTCTCTTCTAATATATATATATATATATATATATATTCAAATAAAAAATTAAAAAAGATACATATAAAATGCAAACAATTAATATCAAACTTAAATTAAAACTACACAATTTTAAAAACATAAATAAAAAAATTACTTATGATTAAAACATAAATTATAGATTAAAAAAGCATGTTTCCTTTTTTCAAAACAAATTTACTTTTTTTTTTTTTTAAATTGAATCAAATGAAGATTGATGAATCAAATTAAAAGTGCATATTCCATTGCAACAAATAAAAGGTTAATTTCCATTGCAACAAATAAAAGGTTAATATAACATCTTCTTCATAACTCTAGGGGTGTCAAATAAGCGACACGACTAAAAAATCTGACGCAAATCCAACCCAAAAAATTCGAGTTAGTCAACCCAATAACCCCGGATTCAATCCAAATTGATATGTCTAAACCCCTTGTCCTGATCCTGCCACATTACTCTCCATGCTCCTGTAGTCTGCATTTTGACCAACACCCTCATCCATAACCCTACACCGCAACACGCCCAACACGTAAGCAGTGTTGAGCACCTCACTTGCAACCCCATGCTCCACACTCACGCTCAAGCTTGAGTGCTCGATGCACCGACACGCATTTCGCCAATTTGCACTCGCACTCTCATGTATGCCCTCACATGCACGCTTGCTCAATCACTAGCATTCACCCGCATGCTCGCTTGCTCAATCACTTGCACCAACATAGCTCATACTTGCTCTATTACAACTAGATACATAGGCCGAGTCAAATCAACCCAATAACCCAATGGGTCAAGTCCAAGTCTAATATTTCTAACCCATTCACAAAACTAAATCGAGTTCATATCAACTAAATTAGACTCGAGCCAATTCCAAGTTCAATCTAAACTCAATCCAAATACCAATTTTAACACCACTACAGAACTCTATGAAGAATATCTTAAATAATTAATAATAATATATAAAAGATCAAGAAGGGTATTTAAGCCATAAAATTAGACCCATAAAAAAAAAACTCACAAATTTTAAAGAGGAATTTATATACATACCATTATATATCATATTATTTATATATCTAATCCTAAAAATTTTAATATTATATTCCTTGAACTGATTTTTGATTCATAGATAATAAACATGAAATATTAAAAATTTATGTATATAATATTATACATACAACTTATTTTTTTCTAAATAGTTTCCATCTCAAGCTAAATCTTACGTTTGATAAACTATATAGGTCAAATAAATGACAGAAGAAAACCCATTATATTCATATATGAAATGTCTACATAGCACCGAAAATATATTAAATTTACAGAAACTGCCCTTCCATAAGAAGCTGAACAAAAAACAAGAGCATAACTAAATTCTACACCCTACTTTGCCTTTCTATTTGAAATCTTCTTTGCCGGAACCTTATTTGCAGACTTCCCACTGCTTGCCCTCTTCGTGGTTTTGGCCGCAGTCGCCACCTTTTTTGGTGCAGCCACAGTCTTTTTTGCCACAGCTACCTTCTTGCCCGGAGCATCCTTAGCCGAGGTCTTCGCCACCTTAGCGGGACGCCTATTGGTCTTCGCTGCCACAGTCTTAGGTTTAGGCTTCGATACCTTCACTGCTGCTTTGGGCTTCGCTGTCACCGTGACCTTTTTCTTAGGCTTTGGCTTCACCGCTGCCTTTACCTTAGGTTTAGTAGCCACACGAGCCTTTGGCTTCGGCTTTGCCGAGGCTACCTTCTTCACCTTGGTTGGAGCAGTAACAGCAGGCTTCTTAGTTGTTGCCGGAAGCTTATACGAGTTCTTTACCTTTACAAGCTTTCCACTAGCTGCGAATTTCCGGAGCTGGACGAGGAGTACCTTACTGAAGTTTGATGGCAGATGAGCTTTGTGCTTGACTTCGATGAATTTGGCAATGGCATACTGGCTCGATCCCGTTCTCTCTTTGAGCGAAGTAATTGCTTCTCCGATCATCTAGGGTAAGACGCGTTAGTTAAAATCGCATCAGATCAGACGAATAAAGGCACAGTGAACAAATTAACGCTGAAATACCTCAAGATAGGTCGGATGGGTGGAACGGGCCTGTAGCTTGCTAGTCTTCTTCGCCTTGGTCTTCTTCGGTTTATCACCGGCGGTATTCGCCGGTGCAGAATTGGTTACCGGCTTCTCCGCTGCAGTAGGCAAGGCTTCTGTCGCCATTACGATAAGAATTAGGGCTAGAGATTGCTGGGAATTGAAATCGGGAAAGTGGGGAGGTGCGAGATGTTCAGAGAGGGAGTCGCGTTTAAATACTGAGAAAGTGAGGAAGAAGGACGCGTGGATGAGATCCATTGGTGGATAAAAACCTCACTCGGATTTCTGAAGCGATTGGTTTAAATGAGGACCGTTGGATCTGTTTATAATCAACGGCGGTAACAATTTGGTAAGGTGAAGAGAAGGGGGAGGCTCATGAGGGCATAGCTTAGGTGTGTTTTCCCTCTATCTTGTTTTTGAGATAACTTGAGCTCTATTGCATGAATTTGAGAGATGTTTGTGTCATTTTGAGGCTATGAAGCTTAGCTTTAAAACAAATATGGACTTGCTTGATTTGGTTGAGTATAAGAGGAGAATTGAGAGTTTGAAGTGGGGTCGGTCATGGAGATGATTTTGTGTTAGCTTGTTGGAGTTTTAGAATTGTTATTGCATATCTTGAGTGTTCCATTCTTGTTTTTGTAATTGAGGATGGTAATATAAGAGCAAAGGAGTTAGTAGAATTTGGAATCATGAGAATTGGATAAGAAATGATGATTCAAATTTAAATTAAAGTGGGGGATGCTAGTTTTTTTTTTTTTTTAATTTAAATTTTGTGCATATAAACAACCTCATACTCTCTGATGTACAAGATAAAGTCGTACTCTCATTAAAATCAATATACCCCTGCTTCACATGATAATCCATAAAAAGCAAATAAAATATGGAAATGTTTTTTTTTTTCTTTTGGAGGACTAGTTGTCACACATCGGGATCTAGAGTAGAAGAATTACATATTTTCCCTATTTTCATATTATATTCATTTGCTATATTTTTAGTTAATTGTCAATATACAATTATAATCAGCTCCTCAATTATATCTTGAATTCCTCCGATGTCGCTGCGTGATCAATCATATTTTAATTTTTAATAATTGGCATAGTGTAACAACGCTTTAGGGTGTAGCGTTGTGGCTCTAGGTTGAATTTCTTAAAATGAAATCCTAACACTTTAAATCAAGATTACACATACAACATTAATAAAACTCAGATCAAATCTAACCAAAAGGTTTTCTATTTATACATATATTCTTAACTATTAAAAAGGATGATGAATTAACTTGTCTTGCAAGCAACGCTAAATTTATAGTCTTCAAGCAGATAGTCAAAGTTCTATCATAAAATGAGCTAGCTCCACAAAACTTTTAAGGCCTTTAGCATCTCCTTCTAAATAAGGTTTAAGTCTCTAAACATCAACAACTCCATAAGGATACTGTGACGCCCCAAGATCTAACTTGGAAAGAATTTCAAACAATCCATCAACAATTTACCAGAGCTATCTATAACTTCAATCAAACAGTCTAGCAAAAATCTATAACATTTATAACATCAATGTACAAGTCGATTCATATCTCAAAAGACCATATATAATACTCAGGAACTACACCATGACCACAAACACATGAACTGATCCTGAACGATCTCAATATTGTCCCGGACGATCCTGAGAGGAAAATCAGATCCATAAAGGAAAAATCAAAGGAACGAGCTCTCACAGATACAATTTTATAATAGTGAATGGGCTTTATAACATAAACTTAAGCTTCCAAGAAAATAATTTTAATCTTAAATTTTACAATAATACTTATTTTCCAAGTTCAAATTCTTTCTTGATAAGTTTACAATCATATCACTTTTTAATTTTCTTTTTATATAACTTGGCATTCTTATAGGCATCATTTCTAATTCCTCCCAACTCATTCAGTTGTATAAGGCTTTTCCCTTTAACGTTCTTATGGTTGTAATTTAGTTCTTTTACTACCCAATAAGCTTTATACTCTAATTCTAAAGGAAATTGAAAAGCTTTTAAAAAAAATTGCTTATATGAAGACATTCTAATTGAGTTTTTGTAAGCAGTCTGATATGTTACAACCCAACCTAATAGGATCCACAAATGACACATGTCTTACTATGTTGACTTATAACAGATTGACCCAAAGATCTAAGTTTCTGGGGCTCTCCAAATTTCTTATATTTAAATATTTAAACAGACAACAGAGCTTCTAATTAACTTTCCTTTAGCAGAATAAAATAAATTCATGCACAAATAATATTTTGTTTCATTTATCATCAAAATTTATATATAATATTTACACACTATAGTACATGACTACTAACAAAATAGAGATGCTAAATAACTAGTAATGATAATACAAAAATTAGGAAATACCTCTACAAACTTAAACGTATTAGATCCTGAATACCCCGCTACTCAAGAAGCTCTTTCCCTTTCGTCAAACCTAAAATAAAATATAGGATATGTGTAAGCCAATAGAACTCATACCCAATAATCTAATTTTTTTAATAATTCACTTATTATGCATTTAATTAAATTTAAAAGTAGATCATAATAAATTAATCGTGTTAAGCATATTATTAATTATATATAACTTAAAATATTCATCGATAAATAATTATTTATTTGTACTTAGTATCTCCTTGCCCTCGAATTGCATTATTTTACTTACAGGTTTAGTAACTACTTGAAATGCATCTACATGAATTGGATCAGCTGGGGGCACTATCCTCTTTTTCTTGTTATTATGAAGAGTTATGAATGGTGTATATGGACCTCCGAAAGGACACCGATGGCTGTAGAGTGTGGAGGGGATATGACCGCATCACCCTGAGGGATAGAGACGATCGCAAGCCTCTGCGCTCCTCGTAAATGAGTCAATGGAAGGGCAGATTAGATTGTACACATGATTAACCATTGAGGATAACAGCTCTCGCCAGCGTACCCCGATGGATAGTAATATATATGACCTGATCAAAATAATGGGTTTCAATCCCTCAAAGCATCCAGAGGGGAAAAATGGAAGTAACACCATCTATGTGATGTGGATAAGTATGATTTATATTCCATTAAGAGAAGGAACTTATCCACTATTTAGGCATACTACAAAACACTCAAGGTAGTAGTCTCAAATCCTAGATCTAAGGTGGGCTTAATATTTATCCAATACTAATACCCGTGTCCTAGCTAATGCACCTGAGCTTATACCCTATTTGGAAAGGGATACCAGCTAACCACCGAAGCACGTAAAATTCATGTAGTCCGGTCTTTATGAAAGATGGATAGATAGTTTAGTGTTTTGGAAGTAGGACTGATGTCTATAGAGTTTTCTAATTGGCCCTGAACTTATATATGGTGAATGCTCATAGAGCTAATATAATTAAAGTTTTAATTTAGTTAGTTTTTAATAAAATGCATGATGGTTAAAAAGGTTTATATCATGAATGCTTAAGATTTTAAAAATAGGCTTATATAAAATAATTTTTTAGAAAAGATTGGGCCTCCCTAGGTTCGACACTTCATCCTCATAGGCCAAATTATCCGAACTCTACCCGCATGCAGGGAGGTGTCTTATAGTAAGGAGAAAGAAAAATGCAGTAATATGCGTGCGATACCAAATAATTCTGACTATTCCCTAGGTTGTTAGGTTTTTACATTATTTAAACCTTAAAATTTTGAATATTAGTTACGAGTAAAAAAAGTTTTTATCCTAAAGAACCTAGCAAAAATTAGTCCACACACATACAAGAAAAAAACTTAAGAAAAGCAGGTAATTTTTATTGCATACAAAAAATAAACACATCAATATAAATCCAAAAAAATCACAGTAAAGTCCACGACAAGTACCATATAAGTACAACATAGGGTCTATAGAAAAGTAGTGGTGGCCAGGCTCCACCAACAATATCTTGGATTATAATTCTACTAAATGATGCAAGTCTTAAAAGTTGGGCATTTCATCTTCAAGTCTTTGTCTTCTAGTGGACCATCCTTCTCTGGATCATCTCCCTTCGGATCATCTCCTTCAGGCTCTATCTGGCTCATCCTTCAGAAGGGTACCCAAATGACTAAGAAATTCCCCGAGAGGGGGCCTTTCTTATTCTCTTTGGGTGCCAAGTGTTTGAAATGCCAGACTTTTAAGGCTTTTACAACTCAATGAATAATAAGTTACATTATATTTGAAAATAAAAAATCTAAACCCAAACTCCTACAGGGTTATCCTTATAAAAATATTCCAAGCAATTCATATATCACATCTAAGCAGTTTATAATTATGCAGAAAGGTAAACACGCTTGGCCATGCTCTTTTAATTTAGGGAGGGGGCTTTAGCAATTTTTGGAGCATCTGTAGAAAACATAATTAGTATTTAAAGCTTTAATTATGTTTGTCCCCTCTATTAGCACTGCATGAGCATGGCCACCTATATAAGACTGAGTTAGTATAAAAGCGGCCCTAGCCCATGGTCAATCTAACTCATAAATCCAAGTATAAGCAAAGTATAAAAAGCGTAATAATAAAATAAACATCTATCACAACACAACACAACACATCAAAACAATAAACATTCGTGCCACAAGTAAGATCATCACATCAAGATGCAGAAAGAAGTAAAACACCAGCTCTAATCCTAGAGCTAGAAGTGATGCCCTAGCAAAGCTACATGTGTGTAATAGATTTGTGTGGCTTTGGATAGGTCCTATGTAGGGTAGTTAATTCAAGTTACCTATAGTTTAGATTTGTTGAAGGGCTGAAAAGAAAACTTTACTTAAAGTTCAAATATTAGTAAATTAAGATCAATTTTAGTTCATTTTAGTTTGTTGATCCATTTTAATTCTTAGGGTAATGATCTTTGAAGTTTAAGTTATATTAACCAATTTTGGAAAGTTTCAGGTCCTCCTATATGCTAGGCTGAGGGGGTCCAAAAGGTCACTATAGATAATTCTTATAAGTTTTTTAAGTTTTGCTAGACAAATTTTTAATTATTATCAATAGGGTTTCACTACATTAAAGGGATTTAAAATAAAGTTTTAGACTAACTCTAAGGAAAATATGCATTGAATATATGAAAATAGTAAACATACCACATCCTTAAATCTATGAGGGCCTAAACTATATGCTCGTGTATCATACATATGCAAAAAATAGTAAAAGAAAAGGAATCGCACTTATCAGTGAGATTAGTTAA